TTAAGTAATGCACTCATTCGGTAGCAAACGGTGCACGTCGGTTCAAATTGATTTTCCTTAAATCGCGCGTACTAGGGTTTTAACTTATGATTCACTAACTCATTATTATCACTTCTAATCACACACTTAATAATATCTAAAACTCACTCTTAATCACTAAATTTAATACACACTCCGTACTGAATAACCACACTTTATACAATTGTAACCCAGATACTTGTCATGATAGATACAAGATTTTGAGAGATGCAAAACATGAAAAATATTTAATAACCAATAGATATGCAGAAATTAATAAAGAATTTACTGTACATTATAGAGAAAATCATTTAAATTCATCATGAATAACTCAGAAAGAATAACTTATTGTCTAGAATGTCAAAAATTTATTAGCCAAGATCTAGCAGCTAAAACTAAAATAAATAAGATAAGAAAACTTATTGTAAAATATTCCTTTGAAGAAATAATATTAGAAGCATTAAACATATTATTTAGATTTCTTTTTTCGATATCTAATAATATGTTTAATGCTTCTAATATTATTTCTTCAAATGAATATTTTACAATAAGTTTTCTTATCTTATTTATTTTAGCTTTAGCTGCTAGATCTTGGTTAATAAATTTTTGACATTCTAGACAATAAGCTATTCTTTTTGAGTTATTCATGATAAATTTAAATGATTTTCTCTATAATGTACAGTAAATTCTTTATTAATTTCTGCATATCTATTGGTTATTAAATATTTTTCATGTTCTGCATCTCTCAAAATCTTGTACCTATCATGACAAGTAACTGGGTTACAATTGTATAAAGGACATAAACCCATTCTTCTTGATAATATGAAATTCTTTTATCTAATTGTTGCAATTGATATGCGTATTCTTTAATAAGGAAAAACATAGAGTCACATATTTGACATTCTTCCATTTTAAGGAGATGGATAGTGCCAATCAGAATCGTTATATTCTACTTCATTATTAAAGTATCTAATGGGTACTGGATTTGTCTCAAAGTTTTCGTCTGAAATATAATCATCATCATTATTTTGTCTATAGTTTATGGTCATTGTTGAATTATTTATGGGGATTAGGGATCATTTATGGCAATAGTGAGATTATTCATGAAATCATTGGGGATTAGGGGAATATTTATGAGATCATTGGGCTCTGATACCATTTCGGTGCCCAAATTTGCGGAAACATAATTTAAGCTTGGGTTGGCTAACACAATATTTATATTTAATGTTCTTGATTCAAAAGATATTTTTATTTCTAAATTGTATTCAGGATGCACAATATTTATTGATAAAGTACTAAAAAGATTAGACATATTTTCCATAAAATTTTTTGATAAGAGGATAGAGTGCAAGCTATATCAAGACAACAATTTCTTATTAACAAAAGAGATGAGTCCAACACACTTCCATGCCTTAGATCTGATTTTCGACCGCAAAAACTCCGGCTATCTCCCCGAGGACTTCTTACTTGGGCGTTGCAGCCTCCAACCACTGGAGTGACTTCCTTTAAGGGCCGCTTCAGAGTTTTACAGCACAGTTTAGTTTCGTTTCTTACCTCTAAGCGTACTCAGATGTAAATATGGAAAGATGTGAAGAAACTTGTTTCTCTTATTAATGAAGAAAGTTAGGTACAAGATGATAGCCTAGCACACTACTGTCTCTCTCCCTTTATTTCTTATACATGAGAGAAAATTTTAAGACCATCGGTAGTAGAACTCCAGTGCTTTTCTCAATTCTTTCTTACTAACACCAATTTCAACTCCAAGTTCTTCCCTCCTTCATATGGCGTCTGCATATTTATAAATGTTTGGCGGACTTCAATGTTGGATGTGAATTGATTTTTCCACGGACTCCTTCTTTCTTCAATTTCGCGGACTTGAATAATATACTTTGGATTCCAGAAGTGTGACGTAAGTGCTTACGTCTTATTCCATGCTCTGACTGCTTGATGCCGTGTCCTTATCTTTTTTTTTAGTACATGCTAGACACGTGTTATTTTTATACTTTCTCATCCTGCACAACGTCTTGATAGCTTTATTGCTGGATTTTATTCTGTTGCTTTCCAATAAGCGTATTTTTCAATTTAAATAATTTATAGCTGCTTCTGGAGTCTTTCCAGCATATGTAGTCATTATAGAAGAAAATGCTTCATTTCCTCCGTATGTATGAAATCCTTGCTTGGGTGTATTTTCTAGATTTTGCAAAACAATTCTCAACCCAAGTGCTATTCGATAATGTATTTTTTCTTCCGAAAAATATTCATACTCCTTCCGCAGAGGATATACTTTTATCTCCAAGTCATCATATTTCATGACTTTAATATGAGAAAAAGCATCATATCTATTTGAGTCTTCAAAATCTGGTCTAGCTGCAATAATTTTGAGCATTAATATATCCCTGGGACCATAAGTAGGATTATTTTGATAGATGTGCCTAACTCCATCTTAAATCCATCGTGGGAGCTTGGAAATTTTAGCAAAGGTTGGAGTAGTCATATATATGGCATTGATTACTTCAAAATTGTACCACTTTTGAATAAAATTGCAATCACATCCCTATACACAATTTATCCGAGAATAGATCCCCGTGAAATCCATATAATATGTATCGGTATTTTGCAAGGCATATAATTCTCTTATAAGAGAATTGTATTCAGTGACGAGTGGATGCTCATTAATTATATTATTTAATATGGGTATCCTCTGAGATGTCTGTTTCCGACTAAAATCCGGTCTCAAGGATATTCCATAATTGAGAGTATTTAATCCAGAACTCTCGGTCTGTTGACAATCTTCTTGTCCCGGTGAAGGGGGAAGATTTTCTGTCTCATCTTTCTTGAACAGATCATATAATATTTCTTCAATCTTGTCGTAAAGGCTGAATGTATTCTGACCTTTTTCGGCATGCTGGATAAGAAGTTCAGAAACTTCTTTATTTAGATCTTGATAATTCACAATATTCATTACGTCATTGAATGACGTCTGCAATTGAGAAATTTTTTCAGATAACTCTGAGACTTTATCCAAAAGGATAGTTTGCTTATTCATTTGGCTTTCCATCTCTAGTGAGAAAATCTGCAAGGCAATTCTCATCAGACTTTATTAGTTCAATTTCAATCATAAATTCATATAATGCCATTTGCCATCTAATTAATCTTTTATTTTGGGGCAAAGGTTTAATATTATTTTTAATAAATGCTCTCACTTGAGAATTATCAGTTCTTAACTTAAATTTCTTGGGTAACAAAAAGTAATAAAATTTATGACAACCTCTTATTACTGCAAGTAATTCTTTTTCATTTATATGATATCTTTTTTCCGTATCTGAAAACATTCCAGATGCATATCTATATAATAAATTATTTTCTGTTTTTAAAACCGCACTCCAAACTTCTTCAGAAGCATCAGTTTCTAATATAAGATTATCTTCATCTGATGGTAAAGTTAAAAAAGATAAATTTTTACATTGCTCTTTTATTCTCTTTACTAAAGCAATATGATTTTCAGAAAATTCATATTTATTATTTTTCTTCAATAATTTTTGCAATTCTTTTCTTTTATCTGCTAAGTTACAAATAAAATCAGATGCATAATTTAATGTTCCTAAAAATCTTTGCAATTGTTTTTTATCTTCTAATTTATCAGGAAATGCTTGTATTTTTTCCAAAATATGCGGTTGCATTTTTATTCCTTCACCATTTATTTCTAATCCTAAAAATTCAATTTCTTTTAGTCCTATTTTTGCTTTCTTTTCTGATAACCCAATTCCATGTTTTAAACATAAATCAGAGAATATATTTAAATGTTCTAAATGTTCTTCTATCGAATCTGAAGCTATTAATATGTCATCAACATATACATATAAGAAAGGATAATCTTTAAAGATTTTCTTCATTTTCGTTGATATATTTGAGGGGCATTTTTTAATCCAAATGGCATAACTAACCATTCATATTGTCCTTGAGGAGTACTAAATGTTGTATATTTAATACTATCAGGGTGCATTTTTATTTGCCAAAAACCACTTTTACAATCAAACTTAGAATATATTTTCTTTCTTTTACTCATTTTTATAAGGGTTTCTTTATGTGGTAAAATGTATCCATCAAATATGGTTTCACTATTTAATTGTTTATAATTAACAACCATTCTAGATTTATTTCTTATTATCTCAGCATGGTTTCTTACCATAAATGCAGGTGAAGAGTGGCGCTAAAAGAGAATGAAAATAAAGATAGAGAGAAAGGTCATGCCTATTTGAAGAACGTTAACAAAAATTGGAAATCATCAAAACATTAAAAAAGAAACAAAGAAGAGATGACGGGAGACGACTGCTGGAACCTGTGTTATGTTTTAAGAATTTTGATGTGTAAGAAATATGTGACGAAAATGAAAACAACTAATATATTTATAATTATTTTTATGTGTATGTGATGAAAATGAAAATAACTAATATATTTATAACTATTTTTATGTGTTATTTATTCAAATATAAATATGATATCATGATGATGTCATTTGATTTTTTAGATGAATCTGATTCTGATCGACACTATTCACTCCTCCTAAGTTTAACCGACTTATTGTGTGGTCCGACTTTCAAAATATAGCCGATAATAGTAACTATAAAACTATTTTTTACTCCTTCCACTTGACAAAATATACTACTTCGCATTCTTCCATTTAATCACTTAATATTAGGGCACTCAATTATTTGTTATTTACACTCTCATTATTTGTTTTATCATATAATTTAATAAATAAAAATTATATAATTAAAATAATAGTCAGAGTATGGTTAACAAAAAATAGAAGTGCGAATAACATTTTCCTAATATTTATTCCCTTTCATTTCACGATACGTATTATTAGCCTAACGAATAGTTGAGCGGGCACAAATCTCTTACTACTGCCCAAAATGCTGGAAGAATTGCACAGTAAGGACTAACGAGAAATAGCTGTGGAGTGGCAGAGTCCAATAAAAATGCAGGTTGGGGTCGCTTGTCACCGCTCTATCCCCCACTACGCCTGCCTACTGGAAACAAAATCGAAATCGAAATCAATCCCTCTTCTCCCGACAACAACAGGGACAAGAGCAGCTCCAAATTATGTTATTGTACGGGTTTCATTTGATTCTCGGGGCCGAGCTGCTAGGACTGAAGGAGAAGGAGCAGGAGCAGGAGGAGGAGTTCCGGTGGAGGAAGGAGGGGAGGAGTACCGGTTCCAGTCCGGGTTGTGGGCACTCCGGAACAGCCAGGAGGGAAGATGGTGGCTGAATTGGTGGGGGCATTTAATCAGTTGACTCACCGGATGACGATGATGAAGCCCAATGGCAATAGCAATTGCAGCAGCAATGCAACAGCAGCAGCAGCAGCAGCAATGGCAATAGCAATTGCAGTAGTAATCTCTCCACCAGCTCCTCTCGCTTGCTCTTCAAGACTCTCAAGCTTGCAATTCCTATTCTCCAGGCCCTCCCTCCGACCCCTCCTGGCCACCGCCCTCCTCTCTCCAAAGCCCTCTCTGTCGCCTTCATTCTCGCCGATCTTCAGGTTCCCTCTCCCTTCCAATCACTTGCTATTCCCCCTATTATTCGCTACTCTTTCTGGGTTTTTTTAAAATTAATACTTAACTATTCTTGAAGCATATTGTGGAAATCCTGCTTTCAGGATTCATAGTTTAATCTTTTTTATGATTCATTCATCATATTATAGATTATGTAAACGGAGACAGTTGTTGACCAGTGTGCTTGTTCCCGTCTGTCTTTTTGTGTATGGGTCTTCAATGGTTAAATGGCGTGAAATGGTCTGTGGGTTTGTAGAAGGTGGCTTTTGACTGTATTTGAAGAGATAGATGTTGGAGAGAGAGAGAGAGAGAGAGAGAGAGAGTAGCTCAAAGCTGGGGTGACAGGAACAAGACTAGACAATGTGGTATTTCGTTGAAGTTGTTTTTGTCAAACTCTACTAGTAAACATTGGAAGGCAGATAAAAGGTGCAATTTTTTTTTTGGCTCAAGAAACTAGAGATTAGTATAATATTCATGGGAATAATTGTATCCAGTACACTAGTATTATTACTGTTATTTGTTTCAGAGGAGATTGATGGACTGACCTTGCAAAACGAAGGTTATAATACTGCTATATAAAGCTCCATCCTTTTTCCTTTTGATACTTCCAGTTCCATTTAAAAGGTTAAACGACAATAAAACACCTGAATGTCATTGTTGTTTCCTGTGACCAAAAGGATTACTATGACTCCAGGGCCTTGAAACCTTTGTAACGAGTTTTTTCTCCCCTTTCTGCAATCCCTAACAGATGGATGCTGAAGTTATCTCTGCTGGTATATTGAGACAAGTTCTAGAGGCAGGTGCCATGTCCTTCTTTCAAGTCAAGGATCGCATTGGTACCAGTACTGCTCATTTGCTTCACGAGAGCTTACGCCTCAACAACATTTATTCGAAAGTCCAAATCCTAGATGATGATTCTGCTGCTGCTTTAAGGAAATATTGTCTCACTTGCTATGACTCCAGGGCCTTAATACTTGACCTTGCTCTCAAGCTTGATTCCATGCGCCATCTCAATTACCTTCCCAGGTACCAGCAGCAATTAATTTCTCTCGAGGTCATGAAGATACATGCCCCTTTAGCTCATGCCTTGTCCACCAACATTTTATCTCTGGAGCTGGAAGATCTTTCCTTCCGCTACTTGTTTCCTTATTCTTACGTCTATGTGGACACATGGTTGGGGAGCCACCAGACCAGTGGAAGCGAGCATCTGTTAGACATCTACCAGGAGCAGCTGCTTCAGTCCCTGAGGTCGGATCCAATATTAACAGAAATTGTTGATGATATCTCTGTCAAAGCTCGTTCCAAAAGTCGTTATAGCACCATGAAGAAGCTTTTGAGAGATGGACGCAAGCCTGAAGAGGTGTACGACATCTTAGGACTGAGAGTAATCTTAAGTCCTTCCCAAGTTAATTCATCACAACTTGGAGAAAAGGCATGCTACAGAACTCGTGAAATAATTCGGTCTTTATGGAAGGAGATTCAGTCGGTCAAGAGACTACATCGCCAGGCCAAAGGCAAATGGGTACAGGAGCTTGCACATGGTTGTTGATATCAGTGATAGTGGCAGGCATAGACCGATGATGGAAATACAGATACGGACAGCAGAGATGGACATGTTGGCAGCTGATGGTACAGCTTCCCATGCACTGTACAAGAGTGGCCTTACTGATCCTGAAGAGGTAAGCTGTCAGATCTATTGTAAAAGGTGTAGAGCTGATCGTAATTCCTCTGTATAAAATGTCTAACCAGCACGTATCTATTCAAAATAGTTATGGAAACAAGAAAGACTCCTTAGGCTGTTAAGTCAATTATTTAGCCACACATTAGTGGTACTAATGCCATTCTGCATGCAGCACTTTAAAGCTATCTCCGTTGAATCCCTGCTTATGTAATGGTTGTGCTGTTGGTTTTACTTCAAATGCTCCAGCCTTTTCATTGTGACTTGTTTAAATAAAAGAAAAGCGACTCCAACTTTGACCTATCCCACCTCTTTTGTGCTAGCAGTTCTGTGGGTTAGAGCCTCTGCAGAAGATTGAATGACATTTGTTCTACTTCTTCTGAATATTACTTTTTTCTAGCCAATTAATTGGCGTCACATCTAAGATATTCTTATATTTTGCTTCATGATCCTTCAGGCAAAGCGTCTCAAGGCGATCATGATAGCTGCAGCTGAATTTGCAGCAATGCGCCTGCAAGACCTCCCGTCTGCTAATACTAGGTGTCTTGAGATTGACCGTAGAGATCGAGTTTTTTGTCTTCTTGACAAGGATGGTGATGGTAAAATCAGCATTGAAGAACTTATGGAAGTAATGGAAGAGCTAGGTGCTGAAGGAGAAGATGCTCGGGAGATGATGGAACTTCTTGATTCAAATAGTGATGGTTCTTTGAGCTCTGATGAGTTTGATTTATTTCAGAAGCAGGTACATGTTGCAAAAATTTGCTTTAGGGTAATGATGGTACCAAGACGAAAACTACTTTTCTTCATGGGCGTTGCTGGTGCATTTATTGTTTTGCTATGCTCCATGACACCAAATGCTACCACGTGTACTTGTCAATCTTGCTTGGGGCCATAAAATATAATTACTTTTCCACTTTGCTTATGTATCAATCATAAGTCATGTTTGTTAAAAAAAAAAAAACTGTGTACAGAGAGGATGAATGACCAGGATTCTTTTGATGTGGGAGCATCTTGTAAACATTTCTAGTATTTGTGTGCACCATTCTGCACCTAGCTGGATTATGTTTAATTAGGTTTAAGTAACATCTATTTTCATCTGAAGAGGTCATGGTGAATTAACTTTGTTCTCTGCTGCAGCTAGTTAATTTCGTGAAATCAATAGTTACTGATAATGTTCTTTGTTCTTCCTGCAGGCTGAATTGATGCGCAATTTAGATGCTAGAGATGATCAGTACAAGACCTTGTTAGACGAGAAGCTCCAAATATCAGATAGCAGTGGTGTGATTCAGGCATACACCTAACAACTCATAGACACGTCTGTAACAAATAGGACTTGCTTGTACAGCTACAGGTGTATATTAGAAATCACTCTGCTGCTATGTCCCTGAAGGGCTTTTTGTCATAATGAATAAGTAAACAGAACGATTTGAATTTTACTCATATTTTAAGCTGTGGACCTCCCACTAACAATAGAGGGTCCTAAAAGTGCACTCTCTCTCTCTCTCTCTCTCTCTCTCTCTCTCTCTCTCTCTGTGGCTGAGCTAGTTAGAGATTTTGAATCCATGTTATACGATTTTATGTCATATATGATTCTCAGGGATTCAATTATCTTCTGTTTGTTCTTTTATTTTGCAATTTCTTGAATGGGGTTTATTGCTGATCAATGTTTTTCTTGCAGTGATGTTTACTTGTGGACCATAAGCCACCCCATGTATATTGCTCTTTCAATTTCTGACAAGAAAGAGATAACATTTAGTAATTTTATCTATAGTTGTGGGTTTTCTTCTCATTAATGCATTTCCATTTGTTTATTAATTGTTTAGGGGGAAAGAAGTTATCTCTCTACAGTGTTCCTTTTTACTAGTTTCTCTAAAACAAGTAAAATACTGGTTAAAAGACCAGAGTATGAGGTATAAAATTAAATGTTGAATATGAGGGAAATGTTTTGATTGAGTTCGAAATTTGTACTTGGTGTTTTTGCATTTGAAAAGGAGTAGCATTCTGATTTGCCTGTATGTGTAAGGTGTTTCTCTTGATGCACAATTGCTCTTCAGGCTTGTGAATTTTATACTAGTTTCTTTAGTTATTTAAACTTTTTGTTAGTTTCTTCCATACAATACTGAGAATAATGATTAATGCCATAGATGATGTATTACATGCTAATTCTGCCCTGCAGGAAGCGAGATATCTTTCTTCAAGAATGCAGTATGTGAAGGCACCGCCTTAAAGGATTTTTATGACTGTCATTGTTTCCCAGCTGCTTCAGTGTATGCTCTTCCAAACTAATCTAATTGCTGTGTCAAGTTTAAATTTGGACTTGATTTTGAACTTTTCCAGAGGACTTTGGTGGATGCATAGTGCCAAGACCCGTGATCGAAGATCCATAGCCTTGATGTCAGAGTTGAAAATGGTCTGTCCAGCAAAGAAAAATTAGCTATAAAATCTTATTGAATTCTGACTAAAATATGCTGAAGTGAAAGATGGTTTAAGATTGAAGGTCTTGTAACTTGATGATGGGTAAATCTCTCTTTTAAGAATGGTGGTGTGCTGCCAACTTGACTTCTTGGATCATTCATATAATTATTCTTTAATAAAATAACAGCAATGAGTATTAATCAATTTCCTGAATTTCCTGTTGTTAAACTCTATAGCTAGTCTGGATGGCTTTCAGATGTTAATTTCTTTCATTGTTGGCAAAGATTGAGGAAGATCATTTTAGATCATTAGGAATCTCTTGGTTGTTCTTTGTTTTCTGAGGAGAGTTTTTTGTCCTTCTATGCGGTTTCTCTTGCTAATATGATACTATTTTATAAAGAATTTTTTAAATTTGTCTTTTTATTATTTTTTAATGCTGATGTGAATGCAATATTAATTTTTGTGTCATGTCAATAATGAGCAGATTTGTTGGTTTATGAGTCAAAGAGAGGGAGAAAAGGAAGAGTGAAGGGAAGTAGGAGCAACAATTCTACTAGCTTGGTTTTGTGTTCTTCATTCAAGATGAGAGTGGTTTGGGGTTAATTTCTCTGGTTGGATTTTATGTAATACAGACTTCCTTTCTGATGACAGGTAGTGCTTGGGGTCCATGCAGAATGTGTCCCATGCTTTAAAGTGATAAAAGAGCAAGGTACTAAAATTGTGGAAGCTGCTGAAATAGTCAATTAAGCTTGAGGTATGCATTGAGGTCAGATATTTTCTATATTTGTAATGAGAGAATCTTTAGAAAGATATGTGGCTTCATTGTTAAATGTAGTCTATGATTCTCAAATTATGAGTATGTCTGAAATGATTCCATGTCCTCTGTCCTTGACTATTGTTGTTTGTGTAAATGCTGGTTCAATAATTCAGCTTAGGGTTTATGCCTTGCTTGGTTGTGGCAGAAAGAGGGGTGGAGTAGAAATGCCTGAAACTATGTTTTTTTTTTTTTTTTATTGATTTGTTGGGCTATACATTCCACCTCAAACTATTATGAATGCCGTCACATGTCAATTTAACTTCATAGTCTTAGACATGTAGCTTGATAGACATCAAGTTATCATGGACTCCTCTCCCAGTGATTTGGGGTTGTATGTTTGCGAGCCTGAAAAATTGCGACGGCCTGGTTGTGGTAGCTAGAGATCAGTGTATGCGACCTGTCATGGATATGGCCACAGTTTCAGCTGGAAAGAGCATTGTTCTCAAAACTGGAAAAACTGACAAGTTTGTATCCTGTTAACCAAGGTTTGTGCGGCTGATACTGTAAGGTGTTCAGTGCAAAAGGAAAAATGGAATGATTCACTTTGTAGTATAGGGTTGACAGTTCAAAATTGGCATATACCCAAGCTTCAGAAGTGGCCTTTGAAACATATAAACATCTTCACTGGCCGAACAACATACCAAGTTTCATCTCAATTGAGAACAACTGTTGATTGACCAAGTAATATAAATGATTTGATTTGACAACTTAACAATTGCTGGGTTGTATGGTCTACTGTTAGCCTGTAAACTTCAATTTGGAGCCTTTGAGGTTGAATTTTAGAATAGTAAATCATTTAGGTGATGTTGAGATTGAATGCTTTTAAGGAACATCAATATTGATTGTATTTGCTTAGAAGGTGCCAATGAAGGTTGGGTCATCAAATGTGATACTATTGAAATCATTTTAAGACTGTAATGATAGAATTTTGTCTAAAATTGAGCCATAAAATGTGATACTATTGAATCGCAATGTGGTTGGCATTCTTCTTCTTGTACGCATTGGTCAAATAATTTGGACACTAAACTTTCCAGCTTGACCAACCAACAATTTTTAAATTACTCCTTACTCATCTACTTCACTGCTTGATACGTTTGTGGGTCAGAAACTGTAATTTAACTTGTCGTTGATTGCTTCTACAATACAAGAATTTACTTAGCATTGGGGTTGAATGGTCATCCACCTATAAATGCACTTTTTGAAGCTTAAGGGTCTGTTTGTTTCGGGTGAAAATGTTTTCCAGGAAAATATTTTCCTAATTTCCCGTGTTTGGCTGCACAAAAGTTACTGAAAACATTTTCCTATGTAAAATATTTTCACCCATCTTATGGAAAACAACTTCCCTTTCAAACTTACTGAAGTTGTTTTCCGAAATGCATGCGTCCCGCCTGTAGTATGTTCCAAACTTATTGAAAACATCTTATAGTATGTTCTTTTTTTTTTAGTATGTTCCAAACTTATTGAAAACATCTTGTAGTATGTTCTTTTTTTTTTTAGTGTAAACAGGAGGACTCGAACACAAGACCTCTTCCTTACACTCCTCCCTCGTACCACCCAACTCAACCCTCCCCTAGCATATTCAAAATAAAAAAAATCTCATCCTACTCATCCTATGCTAGTAATTAATTATGTATAATAGGGACATTCTTTTCTAGAGAAATTTTCAGCAGTGAGAGTGCAAGATATATGTTACAATAAACATTGCATGTGATTGATATTTGACACTAAATGGCCAGCAATTTATTTATTGCTTAAGGAGATATTTTTTATTCATATATACATTTCTCCAAGATTTTTTAAAGTTAAATAATGAGATAAATTTTCTTATTTTGTATGGGAAGAAGTATGTAGTTATAATGTGTAGAAAATAAAGATAGAGATAAAAGTGAAAATATTTCAAAAGTTAAACAAACACCAGAAAAATGAAGTAAGAAAATATTTTCAATAAGCTAACCAAACACCTGAAAATGATGAAAGGGAAATGATTTTCATGAAAAATTACTTCCATGAAAAATATTTTCCCAAGGAAAACATTTTACTTCCAACCAAACAGACCCTAATTGTGGCTGATTTTCACCTCTGTTTTTAACTTCATTTGAGCAGGCAAACCATTATCTTAAAAAGCGTTTGTCAAAAAATTTAAGATTGGGACAGTGATTACTTCTTAAATTAGGTTCCTCAAAAGTCAACTAAATAAAAAAGCAAGAAGAAGTCCTTAACCTAATGCACTTTTTCGGAATTAAAACTAAATCGATATCAATTGATAGCCCTCAATCCCATTGAAAGTTCCCTGCTTATCCATTTCAGTTGTCCAAATCTCATCATCTTAAAGAAGTCAAAGTTAACTTTTACCTTAACTCTTCTGGATACTCCCCTGGGCACGATTGGAAAGAAAAACTGACATCTAATTAATTTGCTATTTCTGACAAGTTGGATTATAGAAGAGTGATGAAAAATTTGGGATGGAGGACAGGATATGTGACCAACAATACAAGAATATTAGTAAATTTGAACATGCATGGACAAGAATATGCTGAAAACTTCACATACTTTAGTAGTTTGTAACACCTTAAATGGTGCATAAAAATTTTATCTCAAATGGTGTATAAACATATACTTCTTTCATGTTACCTATCCAAATGGTAGACAAAAAGAATGTCAGTTGGAGTGAAGTTTGTGTGATTTTTTAATCATATCGTAGGACAAGATATAGTCAAAGCTTCTGGTTTCAATTAATTGGAGAACTAAGACCTTCTTGAGAAGATAATGAATGGATGGTTTGGTGTCTCTTTGATGGAAAAGGTAATGGTGGTGTCTTCCTGAATGAAGGCCTCTTGCTGAGATGTTGCAGAGTTTTTTCCACATAAATTGTTTTGATCACGGGTAAAGCTTTCTCCCTCAACTTGAGAATGATGTAGAACAGCATCCTGTATGATATGGATATGGCTAGAACAACAGCCAAATCCCACCACTTTGAATGATCTGTTGAAAAGCCAAGAATTTTTGTGATGATGAATTCTCCCTTTAATTTTGGCTCTCCTGGCTGAAGAGGTTCAAATTCAAGCCCAATCATGTCATTCTTGTAAGCTCCCTGTTATATCCACCAAAACAAATATTATATCAACAAGATTTGCGGCTGCATAACTTCTTGGATTTGATTAGCTTTAACCTAATGAAAGGTGTGTTTTCTTTTTTCTTTCTTTAGAGTAGTGAATCATTTACTACTAGTAAATCTATCCAGTATTAAACATGG